AGTATTGCAGGAAAAGAGTATTGCAGGTAAAGAGTATTGCAGGTAGTCGGCATCTTGGACTTTTCCCTCCCATTACTGGGAAAAACTCCAGTATTCTTTAAAGGTAAGATGTTCACAAAGCCTAAAATATTTACTATCTAGTTTTTTTTGAGAAAAAGTTTGCTAACCCTTGCCATAGATTAGGAGACTTAGAAGGCAGCAACGCTGTGCAGTGTAGATGCCATGATGAATTATCATTTCTAAAACACTGACTGGAAAAAGAAACTTACTAGACAACTGAGGAAGTGCAAACACTGACTTTTGGATGGTGCTAAGGAATAACTAACATTCATTTTTAAGGCATGGTCGTGGGAATACTGTTATGTTTTAAAGTCATCATCCTTTACAGATGTACTGGCCTTTCCAGATGAAATGAACCTCAGGTCAGCTTCCGCATGAGAAGCAGGCCAGGCCTGGGTCTGGAGCCGTCCTGGCCTTCCCAGATGAAACGGACCTCAGGTCAGCTTCAGCGTGAGAAGCAGGCCAGGCCTGGGTCTGGAGCTGGGCAATGTGCACATGGGGCTGACTTTTCTATTCTTTCTACTTTTGTATCTTGGTGTATTTTCTGAGTGAAAAGTTAAAAAGGATCTCAGCCCTGAGCATCTTCCCACACAGTGCTCACCGTACCCTCTACATCATGCATATGGCAACACCTCATAAGGGTCCCCACTCCGTGTAAAATTAATCCCGTGGCTGGAGATGACATAGATCAACTGAGCGACAGGACACCCTTGAAAATGAAGGAAGGAAAAAACGTGGTTCCAGCTAAGTCAAAACCTGTAGTTCAGGAAACTGAGTTTCACCTCAAAGCAGACCTGACCAAGCGCAACCAACCACCACTGCTGGGCAGCTGCCAGGGAGCCTGCTCTCTCACTGTGCTCCAGGCTGCTTTCAAATTGTGCAGGAAACGGCATTTTTTGGATGTTGCTTCCTATTTTGTTTTATTTGTACCTGTTTATAGACCCAGAACCACATGAAGTTTCCTTTGCAGAGCAGACATCCAATCCCATGATATCGATTCAAGTTCTGCTGAACTGACCTGGGGCCTAGGAAAACAAGATTTTTAAAAGCTTGAACACAAAAAGCAAATGTTATATATCAAATATCACTCAGAGTGTGAGTTTGACATTGTTACTGTTGGGCCCTCCACAGTAGAGCCGATTTAGTTATGGGATAATTATATCCTCCCTCTGTCCCTCTCTCTCTCCCTCCTTCCCCCTCCTCCTCCCTCCCCTCCTCTTT